GGCCAGGATGCCCTTGGCCTTCTTGGCCAACATCATGCACTGGGTCTTGTACACTGTGTGCTGGGTCCTGGACACCATGCACTGGATCCTACATGCCACTGCATTTCCAGACCTCAGCAGAGACCTTCTGGGGAGAAGCTTTGCGGTGCACTCAGGGTGCTCAGCACCCAAGGGTGCTCAGCAGTGTGCAGGACCACGCTGTCCCCCCTGGGACCAAGGTTAGTGCCTGTGGCCCTGTTGTGCTCATTAGACTCCATCCCATCCCTCTGTATTTTAAAGCCCTATTCTTTCCCTGTCCCTCTGATAAGAAATGCTAATGACGAGATGAAATTGGATCGTTCGGGCGCCTTCTCCTCCTAATGGAACTCTTGTGTTCGTTAATTTGCTGGTTTTAATGGGCTGATTGTTCTCCTGCACCGGCGGGGGAACCACGTGAGCCCTTCAGTGGTCAGATGTGAGATGATGCTTGAAGGCAACTGAACCTTCGTGCTCAATAATTGCAGAGCGATTTGGAGACAAGACCTAAATGTATAATTTATAGGAGGTGTTTCATTCATCCTGGGCACGAGCGGTTGCAGAGATGCTCAGCTGAATCCCTCAGGACCTGTGCCCACCTCCCTGCACACTGGCTCTGCTCAGGGGAGGACAATAAATCTTGCAAATTAATGAGGATTTCCTTGGCCCCTCAATTCCTCACAAATTACCGAGGGTGTCCGCGGCCCATGGCAGCCCGGTTGTAGGACACTGCCCGCTGCACCGCGCCACCTGATTAACGTCCCCGTTGGCTTCGTTCATTTTGTTGTCCCCAAATCTGAGTCCATCACCCGATGTGCAGACCTGATTCCACCCAGAGTGGAGATATTTCCTTTTGTTACATGTGTCTGGGTGCCTCTCCCAAGGCAGCAGACACCAAATCTTCAAATCCACAGTTATTTATACTACAAGTATTAATGGATTCAGCCTCCTAATACATAGACATTGTTATTTTATTAATGGATTGGTTAAAATCCTGTGGCCTGGCATGTAAATAAGTACCTGTGCTCGATTTTATTACTCAGCCCATTTCTTTGGAGTCGATGGTCTGCCCAGGGCAGTGGTGGAGTCCCCATCCCTGGAGGGATTGAAGAGTTGTGTAGACACAGTGCTGAGGGACATGGGTTAGTCATAGGGGACTGGTCACTGTTGGGTTCATGGTTGGACTCTGAGATGGGTTGGCATAGGGTACTTGTCAGTGTTGGGTTCATGGTTGGACTCCATGAGCTTCAAGGGCTTTTCCAATCCAGGCAATGCTGGGATTCTGGGATTCTGTGGTGGTATGAATTGGGCAGAGGGTCTGCGAGTCGCTGGTCTCAGTCTCCTCCTGCCAGAATTAACTTTCCTTTAAGGTCACAGTCTTTTGGCAAGTGGAAGCGGTTTCGCAGGGCTGGCAAACTGAGTTAACCATTTATTAGTTCTGCTTCTGCTTTTTGGTGGCTGCTCCTCCCTGGAAGTGTTGAAGGCCAGGTTGGATGAGGCTTTGAGCAACCTGGTCTAGTGGAAGGTGTCCCTGCTGCTGGCAGGGGGGTTGGAACTGGATGAGCTTTGAGGTCCCTTCCAACCCAAACCAGTCTGGGATTCTGTGATAAATGTTTAACTCTCAGTTTTTCTATCGATAGTCCTGGTAGGGTTGGACTGTACAATGGGTATTTCAAACAACAATGCACCTGCTCAGTTTAATTTATATTTCACCATCATAATTTCCATATATCTAATGGGTTTAACTTTATCCTTTAATATCCTGACATCAGCTTGGCTGGTAAAGTGTCACTTTAAAGCGAGGGGAACAGGGTGCAACCCCTGAGGGACCCTCGCCGGTGCAGGTTGGGGACCTGCAGGGTGGTCCTACCACCCCAACGCTGCTGGTTCCATCCTTCCCACCCAGGGTGGGCTGGTGGGGTGATCCCAGCATCCCCCACCCAGGATGATGACCAGTTGGGTGGTGTCCCTCCACTCAGCCTCCAGCCATACAGGGAATATTGGTGTCAGTTGTATTTGCCACACTGGCTGTTTGTGAGCCCAGCACATTATCTCCTCCAGCCAATTAGCAGAAGCATTAATGGAATATATGCAAATGCACAGTCATTGACCTGCGACTCTGTGCTTCATGATGGAGAAGGATGAGCTCCAGATGGTTTAATGAGAGTAATTTAAACCCCTTCTTTATATGCTGTGGTGCCTCCTTGACAGGACCAAACCCAGGCGAGGCGGAGGGTGGGTGGCAGTGGGGACACTGGGGACTAGGGACAGCCCTGGGGTCATCCTGTTTGCCCCCAGCAGCATCCCAAACCGCCCCATATTTAGTACTGGGAAGGTGGGTTGAAGCTCAGAGAGGGGAAGCCATGACTTCCCACAGAGCAGCCCTTCCCCACTGGCCAGGGAGTGCAGGAGAGCGGCCAAGTGCCAACAGGTCCATGGGACCACTGGGCTGGGGTCTTCTCACCCACTACCAGACCACCCACCCTGCCTGTGCCTTCATCCTGCCACCGAGGTGCCTGCAGGTGGAAAAGCCCAAAGAGCAAACCAGTCCCCTTGCTCACCTGCTGCTCCCAGTTTACTCAGCCTTTACTCAGGCTGTGTTGACCCCAAGCGTGGCTGGGGAGGGGGCAGTTTGAGGGAGCCTCACCCCTCACCAGTGATCAGACCCATGCAGCCTGCCCAGCCCTGAGCTCCACACATCCAGTGGAACCAGAGGTATTTGAATAACCACTCTGGGAACCCAAATTAAAATATTGATGTATAATTCATGCCATATGTTCCACCAATATTTTTTATTTAATCAACTGAAGACAGATGGCAGGAACATAGAGGCCATTAAACTAATGGCACTTTGTCTTTCCATTTATTTTCTTCTCCTTTCCTAAAATAAGACGAGTCCATGACAGGCAGCACACCTGGGGACAGGGCTGTCACCGCCGCTGTGCCGGTGGCAGTGGCATTGCCCACCATGAAGCCAACCCCACCACGTAACCTGACCTTGGTGTTGTCCCAAATCCTCCATGGCTGGGGTGGGGGGAGGTTGTTGGAGGAGAGAAATTCCCCTCAGGGAAAGCCCCATGTGAGGCTGGAACCTCTGACCCCGCTGCCCACCCAGCTCCTGGGGCACTTGTGGGGCTTTGTGTGGGGCTGGTGGCGTGTGGAGACCTTCAGGTCTGGGGTGAAACGTGTGTGCACGAGTGTGTGTGAATGCGTGTGTGTGTGTGTGTGTGTGCATGCACAAATGTGTGTGTGGGTGTGTGTGTGCGTGGATGTGTGTACATGTGCACGTGTGTGTGTGTGCACGAATGCATGGATACGTGTGCATGTGGATGTGTGTGTGCAGATATGTGTGTGTGCGTATGTGTGCACCAGTGCATGGATGTGTACATGTGTGTGCACATCAGTGCCTGGATGTATGTGTACACAAATGCGTGGATGTGCGTGTGTCCGTGCACGAGTGCGTGGATGTGTGTGTGCATTGAGTGCGTGGATGTGTGCATGCGTGTGCAGGCATGAATGCATGGATGTGTGGGATGTGTGCTTGCGTGTACATGGACCTACATGCACGAGTGCGTGCCTGTGTGTGTGCACGAAGGCATGGATGTGTGTGTACTTGCATGGATGCGTGGATGTCTCTGCACACGGATGTGTGGATGTGTGTGTGCAGAGCTCATCCTCTTATGGGTGCGATCAGAATCCCTGTGTCCCCCAGAGCCACCCCGCAGCCCCTCTCCTGCTCACCCAACCCCTGGGCTCTGGAGCGGGGACTCTCCTCATGTCCCTGTCCCACACCCCGGGTCGCTGACTCCAGCATTGCTCCCACTACTCCGGTGTCTCCTGCACCCCTGTGCCGGGGTGGAGGGGGGTTGACCTGTCCCTCTGTGGAGCTCTAAGGTGACAGGGAAGCCTGGGGAACCTTCCTTGCCCCACGGAGGGATGGGACTGTCACCCTCCTGGGTCCTGCCACGCTTTCCTGAGTGTGCCTTTCTCTTTGACTTGCAGGTGGAGATTTCTTGCCCTGAGAGCGAGATGAATGGGGCTCCCTTAGACAAAGGGTCCCAGTGTCCCCGGCAGCATTTCAGGCCCCGAGACGCGTCCAGGGACTTTTCATTCTTTGTCTGAAAAGGCGACGGTGCCGTTTCCATTCGGGAGATGTTTGCAGGAGCCGGTGCTGCCGAGCGGAAAGGCGAGCGAGAAGAGCTGCGTCAGCTGATCGGCTTTCAAATCACCTTCAAACCCTCGATTTCCTTAACATGATCCCTCCATCAGCTCAGCCTCTGGGCCACAACTGGGGGGCTTTGCCTGGAGGAGAATAAAGCGGGGACAGCGGTGACAGCCAGCGCTGGAGAAACCCCCCGTGCATGGTGAGAGGGGCTCAAAATCCACCCCTATGCCGTCCTGGACTTTTTAGTGTTGGACAATAGCTTTGCACGGCCTTTGTGGCCCCATCGTGCTTTTGGAGCAGCCATCAGGACACCCCAAGAGCCACCTCCAGCTCAGGGGACACAAACCCCCCCTGGGAGCATCCCTGGGGCCGGATCGCAGCTCCCCCGCGGCGCCGGCTGCCCGGGGAAGGGATGAAGACGCTATGGCCAAATTATTGGTAAAACTCCAGCGGTATTTTCGGCGAAGACCCGTGCGTTTCTTCACGCTGCTGGCTCTCTACCTGGCTGCCGGCAGCTTGGTTTTCCTACACTCGGGCTTTGCCGGGGAGCCCACGGTGACAGGGAACCAGCGTGGCCCCGGGGCCGGCGAGGGACCAGGGCTGCCCTACCTGGGGATGATGCAGCTGAGTCGTGGTTTCAAGGCAGCGGTGACGATGCCGGAGGGGGGACGGCGACACGGACGCTGGTTCAAAAGCACCTCCAAGGAACCGACCCAGAGGGGCAAAGCTGGAGACTACGGCAGCACCCGGAGCCGGGCGCTCAGGGGCAGGAGCGGGCGCGAGAAGGAGGAGGACAGAGGTAAGGGCTGGGGGGACACGTGTCTGGGTGGGGGTCCCTTCTCTTGGCTTCTCCCTGGGAAAGCCTCATGTGCCAGGGCAGTGGTCTGTGAGCTGGTTTGGTCACATACCCCTGCCAGGAACAAATTTCTGAGCATGTGCCCCCATTCAGTGTGGATTTATTTACTTAGAATCCATATGCATGTGTTCTTCACTTAGAATTGCATGTGCATATCCATATTCATTTCCTTAGAATCCATGAAATCTTCTTCCTGCACCCCAATGGGCTGCCCTGTGTGTCCCTGGGGAGCAGCACCCTGCTTTGGAGACCACTGGTCCAGAGGATGTTTCCAGAAAGATCTTCTCCTCCTTCCCTGCTCCTCAAATGCCAATAGTCCACTTTCATTTTTCCATTTTCACTTTTCCCAGTCACACTGGCTGGGACAGACCTTTTTTGATAGAATGGGAGGAAACGGCCTCAAGTTGCACCAGGGGAGGTTCAGATTGGAGAGGAGGAAAAACTTCTTCACCCAAAGGGTGGTCAAGCATTGGAACAGGCTGCCCAGGGAGGTGGTGGAGTCACCTTCCCTGGTGGGATTTAAAAGACAGATGGGTAGGTGGAGTGCTGAGGGACATGGGTTAGAGGTGGAATTGTCAGTGTTGGGTTTATGGTTGGACGTGATGATCTTAAATGTCTTTTCCAACCACTACGATTCTGTGGTTCTGAGAGGCAGCACCCCATCCTCTCCCACTCTTTGGCTGTGCCATGGGCCAAATTCAGTTTTCATTCTCTTGGCTCCAAGGAATGTTAAAAGCAGATTGATCCCATCGTTTGTGTTACGGGGGTGTTCAGGCAGGGGCTGGCTGTGATTGCCCCCCAGGCAGGAGCTTGGCCTCTCAAGCCAGGACATCTCTACCTGGCTGCTGCCCGGAGCGTGTGCTGTGGCGTTGAGTGGGACCATGATTAACGACCAAGGATGAGCGAATGGAGTGGTTCTCATTGATTTTTAACATGTCACTTATTTACCCTGAAGGCAGCTCTATGCAGAGTCCCACGTTCCCTCTGAATTGGGTGGGCAGAGAGCTGCCCGTCAGGGATTTTGCATCCCAGGGGTTATTCCCTGGTACCCACGAGCACCCAGTGCCACCAAACCCCACCCACATGCACCCTGTGTCCCCTCTCTGCAGCCCCCCCACCCCGGCACAGCAGCATCTTGCACCTTCAGCCTCTGTGCACAGTAAATCCTTATAACGATTTCTTGTGGTGGGCTGGTGGGAAGGAGCCATCCAGCTGATTGCTCTGGCAACGGTGTGATGGATGAGGCTTTGGTGTGATGGATGAGGCTTTGGTATGTTGGATGATGCTTTGGTGTGATGGATTCATTGGCTTTCAGGACGGGAGCTGACGCATCAGCCCATCAAGGAAACTCAGAAGGGAATCGAGAGTGGGAACTGATGGAGAGGAGTCAGTTGGAAGGGTATGAGGAGAAGCTGAAGTTGCTTGGTTTGTTCAGCCTGGAGAAGAGGAGACTGAGAGGAGATCTC